AGAGTAGAATTTTTTTCTCAAAGAATTTTCATGAAAGTAGCCAGAGAAGAGAAAGTCTCTGACGTCACGTGCAAACCCGCAATATTTATGCTTTTTTATCAGAGTTATTTGTTGCAGCGGCACTAGATTTCAGAATGGAGAAACATAATAAATTAGAATAGCTTGGAACAACACCAAGGGTTATAATTTCAAATTGACAGACTTCGGGCCAATTTTTAAAAGTGTTTGTATCAATTGAGTGTCCATATCAAGCGGGATGAAATTAGAGAAAATATAAGGACTAGGGACAAGGGAAACTGGCTGTACTAATGAGGTGTCCTTAAGTGGGGTTCAACTTTGTGTTTTATTGGGGGTGGGTGGGGTGAAAACAAAACATGGACCCCCCACTTTTGATCGGGCCAATTGACTGCACTTACATGTATATGGACCAGGTCCATGGACTCTAAAATAATGGGTACTAAACAATTACAACCGTTGCAGTGCAATAGTAGGGTTTAACAAGATGCCTTTGGCTGATGCATGGTGGTGCATGTTGATCACTGATATTTACTAGAACGGGTAAATAGGGGTATATGCAAATCCACCAATCCGTTTTGATTTATTAACCAAATCCACCATTAAAATTTGGCTTTGAATCTGAAATCAGGGCAAAAAAAGATTATGTACATGTATGAAGCCCAAAAAATCAGGGCCTAAAAACTGGATGAATCCAGAATCTGCGCATTACATGATACTGCTGTTATACTGTATATTGCCCTTGAAAAGTGGGGTCTTTTTTTAGGCTTTGCGAGCAATAACGAGGTTTCAAAGCCTAAACCGCCATAATTTTCGGACCTTTCATGAACTTGATAGCGATTAACAATTCTTCTCACACTTTCCAGAAACAATTTACAGGAATGTGTGTAGTACGATTTCCAAGGTTACCATTGCTTTAAGTGTTAGAATGTATTATAGCTAAATTCGTTGTTTTAAGCTGCACGTTTTGCAAACTTCAAAGGAATTTTGGGTTTTTCTGTCCCATCAATCATCTTTATACTCACACTAAGCTGTCATATTTGTAGTCCATTTATTTGAATATTCGCCATTCTTATGAAGGTCAATTCACAGCTGTCAAATTAGAGCATCCTCTGACCATCATCGCCTGACTGTATTGTGGGCTTATCTATCCATTGCGAGGTCGATCACACATTTGTTTTAAGTTTTCCGCTGATATTTTATTTGATCAGAGGCTCAATTTTGTATTTTTAGAGCTGGAAACTTTCATCAGGCATGTTTACTTACACACTTGGTTTGTTTGAATAATCTAAATGGCTGAAAGAGTGTATTTATTGTCATTTAAAACACTGGCTCGGTCAGGAGTATGTTTTCGTTCTACTGCAAATTATTTGATGAGGAAATAATATAATTACTGGTTGCAGTGAGCCAGACGTAAGCTTAACAAATCTGAATAGAAATTGATCGTTGGAAAGCTGATTGATCGATAGATATTCGATACTATTCGATATTATTTTGTCGATTGATTAGTTAATTTAATCTATAAAAATCATTAATCACCAATTGTTTTATCAGCCATACCTCAGTGCTTGCCTTGAATGATCTGATCTCGTAATTTAAGGATCAACGGAGAATGTTGGTAATTATAAGGGTGTAAAAACAGCATCAGTAAAGGTCTTTATTATATAGATACGAGTGTTTTACTGGAAAATACACCATTCGTAAAATTCATAAAAACAATATTTTACTCACTCGCTGTGCTCGTTCGTAAAATATTGTTTGCCACTCAAAAATAAAATTCATATCTTCACGCCACTGTGTAATATCCTCTATATATAACCATTCTTTATATTCTTATTAAACTTAAATATCCCACTCTGCTGATTTTGTGAAACAAAGAACTTTATCATGATTCCTTTTGTTTTTGTTTCTGAACAAATGGAAGAAAATGACGTTTTTACAATAACTGAATCAATCATTTCTCGCACGCTGACTTGGCTAATTTTTACTATCAATAACAGGACAGACACATAAAATTTTAATTTATGCAAGACACAGTCATTTGCCGAACCAATGCCAAACTTCGATGTTTTTCTTTAGTTTAGTTTCATAGAAGATTCACTTTCTGTCTACTAAGAAAAATAGCCATGCAGATGGCTCTCAGATGCAAGACTTGCATCCTGTTTAAATTCTCTTCAAAAATCTCAAGCAGAGGAATTACTGATGAACAAAAATGCTTTAAGTTTCCAAAAGCAAAGACGACTTGCTAGAAACTGTACTGCTTCAAAACTGCGCCAGATTCAGATATAAAGCTTTTAATTAATTCATACATGGTTTTAAAGTCAAAAATGGGAAGAAAACAGTTCTGAAAGTCTATAGTAAATTATTCAAAATAAAGACATTGATTGCAATGGTTTTCTTTTGACAAGTAGTGGGTGTTTTTCGGATTCTTTTTACCGAAAGGAAAACAAACTTTTTGTTTATTTGTTTGTTTGTTTTATCAATTAAATAAGAGGACAAACAAACTTAGTGAAACTTCGCAAGCACAGTTGAATTGAAGACTACTATACATGCATGTGTATAAAACCCACCTTTCAGTTTGAATGAACGCTCTTCATATTATAGCTGAATGCTGTTCAGGACGAAGAACAAGACTTAATGAACTGAAGTAAACAACAGTAACATATATGATTTCTGTTAAATAAACTTTGTACTATTCGGTAAGCAACTTTTCAAAACTGCTTGGCTAGTCTCTCTCACCAGACAGCTTTGCTGTACATCACTTCAACTTGGGAGCTGTTAAAATAACCAAATTGAGTCATCGTTTGGTTATTTTAACTGCTCCCAAATCTTTTCTTTGTATAATTTTTAACCTTGGGCTAGTTTATGACTTTATAATACCCTAAAAATGCCTCCATTTTCATGCAGAGACAATAAACATTGCTAACTTTATTCCTGTTCTGAATAGAAGTTTGGAAAACAATAAATCCCTATTTTATGCAGGGCAGTGGCATAACTCAACCTGTCAAATTTTTAACCAGTGAAACTTGGTTGTCTGTCTTCGGTAGCCAATCACCAAGCGAGAAAAGTTATTGACAATAATATTGTGCTCGTTTAAAAGTCATAAATTTTGTTGTGTTTTCTTCATTTTTACCAGCAAATTTGACTTTTCTGAGCTTTTGTTATTGTAAAAAACAAATTGAGGCCCGTTTTTTATGTGTCTTTCCTCAGCTGCTCTGACACACGTCACATCATTTTATCATCAATAAGAGGACAGACACATAAGAAACTGGTGTCAATTTGTTAAATTGACTGAGTTGACTATATATAAAAGAGTGGGCAATTTCAATTTCAGGCTGATTAATGTCAGTTTATGTCCTTTTATATAAATTTCCACACTTCAATATTTAGATTATTATATATATATATATATATATATAAAGGGTCAATAAAGGATTAAAATCAACATATGTAGTCCATTCTCCTTTGTACAAAGTATATATATATATATATATATATATATATATTGGAAACCCTGTAAGACTATAGGTTACCATTTTACAGTCTTGCATGCAGTATAGGGGTTGGTGTAAAATTTGAGTTTTCCATAGAGGGGGTCAGGTGTGAGGAGGCAGGATTACATTGCAAGTCACTGGTCACAGGTGACAGTACAAGCAACACAATTTGGTGAAAGGTTTTATTATATCAAAATGACTGTTACTTAAAGTTACTAAAGGATTAAGAAGTAACAGCTGATAAGATTTTAATACACTAAATACAGACTTGGTAACTAAGCTGCAGTTTTGTCAGCATTATAGCAGGACTGTCGTTAAGAGCTGGGGGAAGGAGATTTCCCCCATCTACTATGAAAGTGGTCCCAGGCCACTTTCATAGGAAAATAGAAGAAAAATAGAACCAAAAGAAATCTCTAGCTGTTTGATTCCCTGCCTACTTGTTGTATTAATATCCTTTAACTTGAAATCTTAGTGAAATCCCTGATTAGTGTGACAAATATGCTTACCAGCATTTTAAGTGAAGTGTTTGTACATTTATTTAAACTGCTTGGACAAATAAACAGTAAAAATAACTTACATTATTTTCAACATTTTATTTTCAGGTATCAGATTTTGAAAACGTTATCCTTGCAAAGTTCATACAACTGTTGATCTTCTCTGAATCAACCAGTCTCTGCAGTGGTAAAATGTGGAAATAAAGTCTGCAAACTTGAATTTCAGGTACTTTATTCTTGTTATTTACTGCTCTTTCATTATTTATGTGGACATGGGTTATTAAGTCTTTGGAGCAACAGATATTATTCATCTTTGGGGGCTTCCTGCCTTCATTTGCTTGTTCCTTGGCAAATTCAGGATACAAAGGGATATTTAGTCCAGCAGATATTCTCCAAATAGCTGTTGTCATTTCTTGAGTTGTATTTTTGCTTGTCTTGATTTTTATGCAGAAGTTCATAAGGTATCTCTGCATCACAAAATCAGTAGTTCTGCCATTTTCAGCTCCATCCTTTGGAAACAACTGAGCTAAAAACAAACTCATCCCCATGGCTTTCTCAGTTACTGTCATTTTTTTCTGCCAATAGCTTTTGCTCTGTTGATGTCATATTCCTGGATATTGCAAACATCTTCCAAATTTGGTCAATACTAGCTGGTTATCAAGAATTTGCCTAGGGATTTGAGCTAATCAGAAATTGAGAATTGCCAATTTTTTTTGGAAAAATATTAATTATACTGGACAAATTCTCTTTCTTGAAATACTTCAATTATTACTGTTATGACAATTAACTGTGGAGAGAGAAAAAAATACAACAAATGCCGGACTGCCAAAGCTAATTCACCATCAGACAGTTATATCTTAAGAATACTGAGGGAAATGCAGTGTATTTTGTATACTGGGCTAGAACTGTAGATTGTAATTTGATCTCTAATTAATTTGAATTGACTGACAGATTGGATGAATGGTGGAGTAAAGGGGAGAAATACAGTACTGAAGCAATGGTCGAAGACAATGTCAGGGGGTTTAAGTTGGGGATTTCATTTGATATAATTATAAAATAATATTTAGCATACTTGTATTAACTAATTATTATTAAATAATTTCTTAAAAAGTAAATTCTTGAATTTTAGATAAGATAATTGCCTGGGTGAAAATTAACGCAAGAGCTCGCAGACTAATGCTGCAGAATCTCTGAGATTTCTGACAGTAACTCATGGGAACTGAAATTATGTGAATGATCAAGCCCACAGTTTGGCACTATGGACACAGACATTACTACTTGCTGTCTACGAACTGTATTTCCAGGGGTATTAGCTAGCCTAAAACTCTTTTATAGAAAACATCGGGCCGAACTCAAAGCAATCTCCCCTCCATAAACCTTGTCATCATATCCTGAGGGTGATACTAACAATAGCTTGTTCCAGGCATGATAAATCTGAGAACAGCATGAGAGGAAAACAGACGGAAGGAAGGGGTGGGGAGGGGGCTCTGCTCCAGTCCCCAATATTTGATATCTAAGAACAGGATATGATTACAGTCAGTCAAGTGTATCAAACAAACTATTAACAAACGTGAGGTAAAGTCAACAGAAGAGAAGGGGATGGGGTGGGGCTCAGCTCCATTCCCCAATGACTGATATCTAGGAACAGGATATGATTACAGTCAATCAAGTGTAATTTCAAACAAGGTATTAACATACGTGATCAGAAGTTTATCTAATTTATAGGAAGCAGAATTTTCAGCCATTTGCAGTAACACACCATTCCTTTTCAAAGCTTTTGTATAACAGAAAAGAGGATAATTTACTTAAGAAAAATTTTGCACAAACTCTTTCATTTTGTTTTTCATAAGTCTGAACAGTCAAGTAAAAAATCATTTTTATGATAGTACGTACTCCAGTTAACAGGTCACAGTAACATTAGCCATTTCTGCCTTTCCTTGAAATTGAGTCTTGATCAGTCATTAGTCGTTTATTCATGAGTAAAACGCTTTTCATTCACGTGCAAATTTTTTAACACATCTTTACGTAAAAAGATGTGCACTGAACACGCGCTTTCATAAAGAGGGTAAGGACTTTGAAATAAAATAGGCTAATGTACTGCAAGAGAAATGTAGAAAATTCAATGTTGCTTTTAAGCCAGATCTCTTCATGAATATTAATTTCTCTTCAGAATAGGATAGTAACGGAAACAATTTTGCACTGTTTGTCTTTCCCCTGCAGGAATATGTAGTGGACCTTTTCATGGCTACTTCAGCACCATCACCGCTGGCCAGTTCTGTGGAGAAGACAAATGGAGCCAAGCTCAGCAGGCTTCTCATCGATGGTGGAACAACAGTTCTTAGGAAGATTTTTGATGGCCATCATCCTCCTGCAAACTTAATTACTGACTTAAATGCTAATTACCCCATTCTTAACAATCTCTTACGTCGTCGAGTTCTAAATGGCCATCAGTGGGACAAACTATTTCCACCTGGTGGAGTCCCTCCAGACTCCAACACCTTTGACATCACTCTTTTGTTTCTCCTTCTGACTAAGATTTGTGGACTAACCCCTCCCCCCTCAGGATGGCATACTAAACCACCCTCAAGTGACACGTCTCATGAGGCTAACCTTGCACGTGTTAAGTTCTATCGCAATATCTTGTATGGTCATGTGACAACCACTGGTGTTGATACATCAACTTTCTCTTCTCTGTGGACTGAAATTAGTGGTGTTCTTGTGAGTCTTGGTCTCGATCAGGCGGAAGTGGATAGGTTGAAGGCAGAGAAAGGTGGAGAGCAAGATTATATTGACGTGTTGATTGAGTGGGCTGTTAGGGAAGAGGACATTAAGTCACAGTTGGAGAATTATCGTCAGGCCCAAGCCAAGATACAACAAAGCGTTGAAGAACTGGGTCTAAGCTTGAAAGGAGTTAAGGTAGGTGTCGAGGAAATAAACGAAAACTTGGATTGGTTAAAAGGCGAAAAAGACAAGAACAAGTCAGAAGAGGTCCTTCAAAAACTTGCTAAGTCGGAATTCAGGGGAGATATTGAGTATCACTTACAAAGATTTCAAGACGGCACCCGTGAGTGGGTCTTTGACAGAGTTCAGAACTGGCTGAATGACAGAAGCTCTCAAAACCGCGTGATGGTGATCAGTGGAAATGCAGGAATGGGAAAATCAGTCATTGCAGCTGTGATTTGCAAGAGAATGCAACAAGCTGGCAGACTATCAGGAAGCCATTTTTGTCAGTATAACAATGTACGCTACTGTAAGCCTCAGTTGATGATTCAGTCATTAGCTTGTCACTTGTCCCATGCCCTGCCAGAGTACAAGCGAGCCCTCGGGGAACAGCTGTCAAGAAATCTGGGTACAGATCTCAACAACATGGGTGTGGAGGAGTTATTTGCGTTGCTTTTCAAGGAACCTCTTAGTGCTGTAGGTGACCCAGGAAGAAACATGCTCATGGTGATAGATGGCTTGGATGAAAGCGAATATCAAGGACGGAGTGAGCTTCTTAATGTGATTGCAAATCAGTTTTGTAAGCTTCCTATTTGGATTCGTTTTCTTGTCACGACGCGTCCTGCCTTAAACATTGCAGAGAGACTGAAACATTTGAAGCCACTTGAACTGCAGTCTGATGGTGAAGACAATCTTGAGGATGTCAGAGTATTTTGTCTGAAAAGGCTGGAACGTGTTGTCAAACCAGCGAATGTGGGCGAGTTAGTGGAACGACTAGTTTTGAAATCTGAAGGACTGATGTTGTACGCCCATTTTCTCATTTTGTCGACTACTGAAAGTGCATCAATTTCCCACGAGAGAGACCTTGTCGGCAGTTCACCCTTAGGAATTTTTGCCGTGTATCATTCCTATTTTAAACGTTTGGGACGTGAACTCATAAATGAACATAACATCAGGGAAGAACATTTCCTAAATCTGTTGTCTTCCATTACCGCTTCAAGGGAACCCCTGCCAGTGGGTTTTGTTTCTAAAGTATTTGTATCAAGTTCTAATTCACCACTAACAAAGCGTAAAGTACACAGCGCCTTAGGCAGTGTGTCTGCACTTCTTCCTATCCGTGACGATTGTCTTCACGTCATCCACAAGTCAGTTAAAGACTGGTTAACTGACATTTCATGTCATGGGGAGCATGAATTCATCATGGATGAAAACGAGGGTCATCGTTTACTTGCGGACCTCTGCATTGAAGAGCTTGAAAATCTGAAGCTTAAAGGTGTCGATAACCTACAGTTTGGCGCCACTGAGAGGTACGCTTTGTATCATGGTGCACATCACATGCTACACGAAGGCGTCAAGAGAGAGCCACATAAACTGGACGAACTGACTAAAGCCTACATTATTGATTTAGAAGTAGTGTATGCCAAGACCTTCGTGAACAGCACAATAGCGGCTGAAGACCTTTTGTGGCTTAACGAGCAGGGGATTTTTACATTGTTATCAAAAGATAACCAAAGTATTGTGGACGCCTTGTTGTTCGTATTGAGGAAGAACATCCGTTTGCTTACAGATAACCCTCGTACGTTTCTTCAAACCATACTTAACCAAGGAGGAAAAGTGTTGACTGTTGAAGCGTCGAATCTTTTGCGAAATAAGTATCCTGAAATACCATATATGGAGGTTGTTCATAAGGAGACGCAGCAGGGAGGTGTTTTAGCGCGATTTGAGTGTCTATCTGATGTGATCTGTTTGGACGTCTCTCCACAGTTGGATTATATGGTGTGTGAATGTGATGACGGAATACTGCAGCTGTGGTCACTCCAGACTGGCAGGCTAGTGTGGACACGTCCAGTCTTAGTAGAGAAGAGTTTCAAGAGGAGCTGGTTGGGCCACAAGAGTAGAAAATTACCTTCAATCAACGCGTTGTCATTTTTCCGCTCAGTTGTTTTTCACCCTACAAAGGAATGTATTTTACCTGGGATTCTAAGTCAGGCCTATACTATGGACGGAAACTTGAAACCGCTCTTTCTCGGAAGTAACTGTAGATTCTCAGTTTGCTCTATTTCCGGGGACAAGGCCAAGATTCTAACTAATTGTCTTGAGAGTTCTAAAGGCCTTGTCATGTGGAGTTTGGAAAATGGCTCAGAGGTTGATCGAATCCTCGTAAATGAAGACATTTTATCTTTTGCATGGTCTGGTGATGGAAGGTTTCTTGTAATCTCACATTCTTCGGGGGTGATTAGTTTGTATGATGTGATGTGTAATTTCAGAAAACTAACACAAATGGCTACCCCAGAAGTATGGGGCATGGTAAAGTTTTCACCTGATCATCGATTCATTTTTGGTTACGCTGTAAAAAATGACGTCATAAACAAATACTCCTTTTTTTGTCTCGAGGTTGTAAAGGAAGCAAACAACACGTTTTCGTTAACGATTGTGTCTGGTGATTCTGAGGCTTTTGAATCCTTTAATGATTGTGGGTTTTTATTTGGCGATCTTATTTCCACAAAAGGTCATAAGTTTGGATTGACGTTTGGTCTTGACAAGCAACGTCTGCTACGTTCCTCTTTGAAAGCAATAGAAATGGTGGATACCAAATACGTAAACAGAAACGATCAAGGCGTAGATACTGAAGCTTCTGGGATAGCACTCAGTTTGGATGGTCAGACCGTGTTTGTTGCTAGGGTTGCATCATCAGTCACTGCTTATGACGTGTCGAGTGGGAAGCTTAAAGCTGAGATAAACTACTGGCCTTTACCGTACCGTCCGTTGTGTCCTGTTAGTGGTGGAGTCCTAATCTTAACGAATAAAAGCACTGTTGAGTTGTGGAGTGGTAACCTCGCTGGACCAATCAAAAGGTGGATCAACTTGCCTGGAGTCAAACAGCTGATCCCTATATCAGAGGAACGAGTAGCAGTCGTAGGAGACGTTGATGTGAAAGTCCTAGATACAAGCAGTGGAATAGTTGTATCAACAATCCCAGTTTTACAAGGAAGAGTTCTTACCTGCAACAATAAATGTCAGCTGTTAAGTGATACCACATTTGAAGGTTCTGGTCCTTGGTCTCTTCAGCTTTTGGATGGCGAAACAGTTGTTTGGAGAAAGAAAGACATTGGAAGGTTCTCTGTCTCTCATAATTTTAATAAGGCTGTGGCTTTCTCAACTATGGAACAGTTCCTTGTTGTTGGCACGACTGACGGCCTCTTAGTCTTGGATGCCGAAACAGGAAACACGCTCCGTACTTTAGGTCTTTCATTTTCCCTTTTTCTTCATTGCACGTTTATCAGTGACGACACATGTGTTATTTCTGCTCGTGATTTAACTGTTCAGATGTTTAACGTCAAATCTGGTGAACTTCTAACTGGAATTGATGTGGAAAGTGAGGCGATCTGTTTAGCAGCCTGTCCCTTCAATCGTGTTCTCGCCATCGGCCTGAGGAACTCCACACCTAATTTCAAAGTTATCAGGGTGCATTTGTCGCGGGGCGAAGGCGATGGAAACATGGAAAGGTAAACTGACAGTATTTGAGTGAGAATTATTTTTTTTGCTTGAAGGCTTGCCCTAAATGTTAGTGATTTATCTCTTTTTTTGTCCATACCTTTACGGTGGATTCATTTGCAGCATACGCGTATAACCAGGCTATTTGCTCGTGAGAAGTTTTGTTTTAATGGGCAAATGCGTTGGTTATACGCATATGCTGTAAATGAATTTGTCCTCTGAATGTTGTCCAACGCAGATGTAACGATACTAGCCTCCCCTGCAGACATTCTTAGGTGTGCGTCACGCGTTCCTTCGTGGGGAAGGAACGCGTGACGCACACCTAAGAATGTCTGCGGTGGAGGCTATAACGATACCTTATTTCTTATTTTTTTAGTGGTCACTCTGGAACCACATTGTACAAAGAGGAGAGATTAGATCCACCAGAGCAAGTATGTTTCCGCGTAGGTTATGGTATAAACTATGTAGAAACATTTAAATATGGATATGAATGTTTAATAGATTCAAATCGCACTAAGAACAAATATTTCTTTTTAGCTATGGGGAAGTCTGGTTAAATATTCAACTTTTTAATTGACTTTAAAATATGTCATGAATCAATAAATATTCTACAACTATCCCCTGAAGGGGAGGTGAATAGCGGTGGATATATATATCGAGACGCGAAGTGCCGAGGTATATATCTAGCGCTGCTCACCGACCTTGAGGGGGACAGTTGTTTTAGTATTTACCAAATCGGTTGGATAAAAAAATGAAAAAAAGTACCTTTTTGTAAACTAAAAATGTCAGTGAAAAGGAAATTTTTTTATAATTTACAAACATTCTGGGAATTTTTTCAAGTGTATTTTTACGATTTTGTTGCAAATTCAGCATGAAAACAATTTTCTACCTATACCAGTAGACATTTACAAGGCAAAGTTAGTCGCTTTCTTGGTATTTGTTTGTACGACTGCTTCATTTATCGCTCAAATTTCGTGCTCCGAAAATGTCTCGAAGCGAGACGCCATCTTGGCTCCGGTCACAAAACAGTGAATAACCAATAGTCAAGGATATTCCGAGTTACGGGAGCCAGTCAAAACGCGCGAAAAGTGCTATTCGCCGATTTGGTAAATACTAAAATTAAAATCAATTTTTAGTTATAATATTGGACAAAACGACAATGGTCAAGGAAGATCGATTAGCCTTCATCAGAAAGTGTTTCCAGGCGAGTTACTGAGTTGGAGGGAAAGCAAAAGAAATGGAAGATCGAAGGGTGAACGAGGAGGAGGGGAGGAAACGCTTGCCCGAAAATCCCGCGATTCTGGAAAACGCCCCTTGATATTTCACGGTTTGGTTCATTTGTAAATTGACAGTTTGTCAAACTGTAGCAACTAGTAACGTGCATAACAGACAGAGTAGATTCACGCAAAACGTGGGAACAAATTTGGGTCTAATACGGGGTGTCCGCTTAACGTACTTGAGCCTAATACGGGTTACATTTATTCCAGAATAACCAACAAGCCAATGGAATAGAAGGAGAACAGCGATCTGAAAATGAGCAAGAGGTAATTAAGGATAGTAACTAGCAGTCACTGAATATGGCTGAGAACGAGATGAAAAATAATACACTTAAAAGCATGCTTACTTCGATCGATGTTATCATAACTAGGAGGGAAGAATCCAAAATTCGCGATAGAACGAGATATAGACTAGCACATATTCGGCCTCAAATGCCAGTTATCATCAGTGCTATTTTTACTGTGCTTGTTACGTTTTAGGAAATAGTGTGACTATCTTTGTTTTTTGCAAAACAAATCAACTGCACCACGCCTTCTGTTATCCTTTTTCAGAACAATTATCCTGAGAGTGCCTTATGTTTTAGGATTTCGGAAATAGCGCTGGGATTTAGGCCAATGCGAAACGGAAAAATATTTGAACGAATAATTAACAATTAATGAATGAGACTGAGTATCTTATGAAGAATTGTGGAGATCGGGGAGGGTGTTATCCGTCGAGGCCGTTGGCCGAGGCGGATAATACTCTCCGAGATCTTCATAATTCTTCATATGATACGAAAGCCGAATTCAATAACTGTTTTATTATTCATTCAATTAATTCCTAGTTTAAAAACATGGCTGAAACATGCTTACCTCCATCGATCCATCGATGAAGTTCATCTTCGATAGTGCACGTTTAGGTTTGTCCAGCTCCGCAAATATTCTCCAAATAGAAAAATTCTTGCCAGGTTTTTAGCTATTTTTTCGCCTAGTTCTTACTCTTGAAACAAGTGAAATGTCCGCCATTTTTCAAGTTCACAACCAAAACAATAACTCAACCTCGTTCCCAGGTCTTCTCGGTTAACGGTGCGTTAACCTGCGAAAACACTGCATTTTTTACGTCATTTCCTCGTTAAACACAAAATTCTTCCAAATTTGGTAATCAGTAACTGGTTATGGTGAATTAAACGTGTGGATTTAGTCAATCAGAATCGGGAAAATATTTTGAATGAATAATAATCGGCAGTTATTGGTTGAGGTCAAGTATGATATTGAGAATTTTGCAGATCGAAGTGTGTGTTATGCGCCTCATTGGCATGAGTGTTCACATTCATATGAAAGCCAGCTGAAGCCATTGGTTTTCATTACTTTTTTTTCTTTCAATATGTTTTATAAGCTGTGTTTGTCATAGCTCGAGAAAATAGCAGAAGATTCTCCACGTCAAAACAAGAAAGATGCTAATTAATATTTTTAAATAAATACCCCTTCATATCTTATAACTGCCAAAAAACGCGCAATTGTTATGAAGACGTAAGCTTTCCATAGATCGAGGTAAGCATGTTTCAAGTTTTAGTAGCTACCTCGCCTTCTGTTGATCCTTATTCGGGTAGCCTCACGAGTGAGCAAGGTTAAAAGTGAAACAGGCAAGATCTTAACCAATCAGGATTGGTCACTTTGTGCGTGCAGGAACAAACGAAATTCCTTTAACCAAAATTATTACAGTTCGTACAGTCTCTATGTGATCTTGATGATCACATGAACTTGATGTCTAAGTTGGATTTCTCAAATTTTACATTATAATCGTGCAAATACATGTAAATACATTTTGCTTAGTTTTAACATAATTATGTAATAATCTCGTGATCTACTCTTTGTTTTAAGAATTTTTAACTGTGTATATATTTTTATATAGGTTTCTTTATGAGAAATCTTCTCTTTCTATTATTATTTTTATTTTATTTATTTATTTTTCGTGGCAGGTCTGTAAAGTAGCTAATTAGCTAAGAACATTGACCACGTTAAATAAAGGTTATTGTTATTAGTAATGGTAACAGGACTGAGTGGAGTCCAATTCGGTCTGTAATCATAAGAGTGATTAACAAAAACGGACGACCGCGTAGCGGGAGTCCGATTTGTTTAATCACGAGTATGATTACAGACTGAATGGGACGACACGAAGTTCTGTTACCAATTAATCATAACTTTAACAAAATTTGTGATATATAAGCCCTTTTTTAAAATCAAAACAGAAGAAATTCCAATTTTTTTAATGCTAGTAGTGAAAAAAAGCCATTTAAGCGCGCGCGTGATGGCGCGTACTGTCCAATTACTTAGGCACGACGCGTACTGTCCTATTAAACTGTCCAATTAAGGCTGAAATCAGGGCAGTTGATAGCCAATCAGATTTGAGAATTTTGTTATAGTTATGATTATTATTGTTATTTCAAATTTTGATTTTTTTAAAGAATGTGTGGCGATGTACAAAGTATCTCCTAACTTGTATTGAAACGATTCGAAAAAAAAATTGCTTACACTTTGTGTGTTGCATAAACTAGTGCTGTTTCCTTCTGGAGTCCGGGGCACTTGGAGCTGAAAGCCCATGTATTCCATAAAAATGGTCCAAAATCCAGCTGAAAATCGCCAAAATGGTCTGCATCAGACTTGCCTGTTACCTTAAAATATAGCAGAGCACTTGTGACACCCGTTATGTAATCAGATTTCGGCATGTTATATGGTATATTACTTTTCCAAAGCTGAAAAATGTAATTCGTTAGCTCTAACTGATTGCGTGAATGCTTTTTTTTTAGGCTAGCAGGAATTCTCAAGTTGAGAAAAAAAGCTGGTGAGTCTTCTTGTAAATGGTTTTTTGTTGGTTTTTCATTGTTTCCCTCAACTGAATTCAGCTGTGTTCGTTGGGTTGGGAAATGTTTAATGAAAAATCGATTGAGTTCCTCAAGCTCTTTTTACCTTCTAGCTCTCATTATTGCAAGGCTATGTCTTTAATATCCCTATAGATGAATTGTTTAACTGTTCCAGCTTTTTGTTATGATGCAGATAAAGGTGCGATAGTTTCTTCCAAAGTTCATGTATATTATCTCTGTTTCATTTTCAGCTGTATGCTTGTTTGATGAAAGCAAAAGAAGATAGTTCAGTCCGTTAGAATCTGCACGAGAGTTTCTCTTCGGCTTCCAAATTATAATGAATTAGTGCAAATTATTTGTTAGGTTTTCGTAGATTATCAAAATGTTTGTAAATAACATTCTATCTAACTGAGAATGAGACATATTTATCAAAATTGAAATATGTCTTATGCCAATTACATTTTTCTCAGACTTTAGCGGGGGAGGGTGAAAAAAAAAACATTATTTTCAAGTTTTCAATAAACTCGAGGTAAACGTATAAATTTCCTCTTTAGAGAGAGTAAAGAGGTGAATTATTCTAGATAGTAATATACTAACTGAGTTAAAAAGTTAAAAAGTCATTTATTATACTAGAATCTAGGCTAGTTTACTAAGAAAGTGATCACGCAGTTAGTCTAGTTAGATCCTTGCCGCACGCAGGTTTCATCTTCTAAATCCCAGCCGGTCCGACGCCGTCTGGGACCGCATAAAACGATGCTCTCACTCTGTGGGTAACTGGGACTTAGTATGACGTCAGTATCACGTGTTTTGTTTTGAGAAAATCCCAGCCCCCAAGAACTTTCTTGATTCTGAATGTTTTCTGATTGTTATTCCGAGAAGCGGATGTATTGCTAGTCTGACAGTTTTGAATTATAATCTTAAAGATCATCTGAAAAAAGTCTACGACTGTGTCCGTTTTATTCACACCCCTTTATAAACAGGAACACACAGAACAATGATAAAACGTAGGAATAAGGATGCAGTGAAATTACTGTTGCGTCATTGTAGTTTTTCTTGTCAATAGTGATTTAGACCAATGATTGGTTGAAAAAAAAAACACTTTGTGCACCACACTGAACAAAGGTGCTCACAAATCAAATTACATAGGTTTTAACAGTTTTTTAGATGAAGAAGCATCAAGTTTAATAGGCAGATTAAGTTATCAACTATTTTTAAATTTGAGTTTTAAAGGAAGGGGAACCATTTTTTTTAAGATTAATATTTTTATGTTGAAAAAAATGAAAGGACTCCTGAAAGGACATTTCAGAAATGTATTTCAAACAATTTTTCCCGGAGGATTACATAGATGTTTGTAATAAAAAAAGTTAATTAGATTCGCATTCAGTCCGGGCCATAACCATTTCTAGATACTCTATGACGTCATCAAGAAGGACTTCTGGCGCCGACCTCGACGAAACTCATTTACTACTCTTCTTTGAGCTGTAGCGGATTTAGCCCTCAGTTATATTCCATGAAACCTTTCGAAATTAAAGGCGAAGAGTGACGAAATACAGCAAGCGAACGATAGGTGATAGTTTCGGTTGTGATTGGCCAGAAATTCTGTGGAAAAATCGAGCAAAGGGGCCGCTAAAGGGATTTCTGGGAGGGAGCTGATTGAGTAGCATTTTTTTGGTTCCTACAAAAAATATTTTCAAAAACTACAATACCTGGTTATGGCCCGGACTGACATTTATAGAATAACATTCAAAAGAGGATAATCCCGTAAATGAATTAGTTAAGCAAAAAAAAAAAAACTAATTATGGCCCGGACTGACATTTATAGAATAACATTCAAAAGAGGATAATCCCGTAAATGAATTAGTTAAGCAAAAAAAAAAAAAACTAGGACTGTAAATTATAGGAATAAATGTGACTTTTTATATTTTGCAAAAAGAATTATTTCCTCTTCAATACATTCAGTAACCATAGTAACGTCTGCGAAGCAGCGCCGATATCCTTGTCCCGGGCACCCAATGGACTCAACGAATTACCGGAAGTGCGTTTCGAATTTCTTTTCATCCTGATTGGCAAATCGACAATGACCTTTTCAACTGGCCAATCATGACGCGTACTAAATCTTGGTACACGGGTGGGGGTTCAAAACAAGGATTTCGGTGATGTTTCGCAGACGGAGTTAACCAGAGTTTTAGTTTCGTTTGTGGTGCAGGCCAACCGCTGTCTACGTTCAAGCTTTTGATTCATCTGTACGCCTGTACTTTGTGACTGTTTCTGCGGGGCTGGCTACTGATCATCCTCCCCTTCCCCCTTCCCCGCCTCTATTCTTACCATTTTTGAGAGCGAGACTTAAGGAAAGGGATAGAAAAGCGCGGGGGACGATGGGTAGGGGAAAAGAGGAGGCAGCGTGGCTGAGTGGTCAGCGCGCCGGACTTGCAATCCTGTGGTCACAGATTCGAGTCCCGCTCTGGCTACTTGCTGGATTTGTACTCAGTTGTCCCGAGCTCAAATCCTCGGCCACGCTTTTAAATAGCCAACTGGTTGCCTCTGGCCAGTTGGTTTTTTAATCTTGTTATGTTGTATTTAAATTATTTGTTTCTAAGTATTTGAGTGGAGTGCCTGTAAAGTAGCTGGATAAGCTAAGTGCGCTTTCCACAATAGACAAGCCTTTAAACCTTTCTTCTTTTTTTTTAACAACAACGGCATCAAGGCTTTCCGCCTTTTCTCGCCCTTCCCCTCACTATCCCCCGTGCTCTCGCTGTTGAAGAGAACTCGAAAGTTATTCCCGCAGGACAAGGAAGTTATTGTTTGGTCTTATTTTTTTAAATCGAGATTCAGACAATGTTGTCACTTTTTGACTTAACGGAGGCGGCTCACAATTTTCTCGATACTGTCAACTGCCTATTTTGAGCGCAGCACTTTTTCGATCACAGTATCTTCCACTGGATTCGAGGATAATGTAGCCTACGCGTAGCGGCACCCTCCCCCCGACAAAGGAAAAACGGGGGAAGGGTGCGCCTCAAGTAGGCTAGGATAAGGGAATCTGGAACCTAAAGCTCAAAGTCTTTCGCTTCTCGCTTTCCAGTTCCGGTAGTAGGCTCGCTTGGTGCCACCGAAAACACAAAAAAATTCTAGCTCGCGCTTTGCGCTGGAAAAAAAAATTTGAGCTTGACTTGTAGGAAAGTCTACCTGTAACTCATGTCCCTTTAACCCCCAAGCTTCTGAGACCCCAGTTTTGAAAACCACACCTGGGTTCAAAAATATGGCAATACCGTTTTCGGATTAAAGAAAACACCCGTACAACTCTATACTATTTAAATTTTTTTTTTTTATTCATAATGTAAATTAGCCCTCTTTTGAGCAAAAGGGTCCAGCACAACAATGAATAAAGTAGAAAAAGTTAAAAAGTCTTTTCCTTGATTCCTGATGATCAGTATGGGCTATTTTTAAAAACATTTCTTGATGTTTACACAGAAAAACACACTTCTGTGCTTTAAAAATCAGCAAGCAGAACTAAAATATTTTCATTAGAAGTGAAGTTATACCATTTTTTACAGGCGGAGTCAGCGCTAGTTAGCATTCCGTAAAATTCCGAAAATAAGCCCCGCGGCTTATTGCTGGTTTCAGTGTCACGCCATTCGAAATATATCAAAATAAAAATCAAAACCGTTTAATAGATAACGTTCAGAATCTGGAAAATGAAACGAGGTACGTATACACAGACCCTCGCCAAGATTCAGGTCAGAGGAATATTTCGTATACGAGATATCCGAAGAAATGTTTTACCCAACCTTATAGAGATTTGTATGGAGACTCCATGCTGGTGCTCACCTGGATGAGCTCCAACATGGCGGACGGAAAAAAATGGGTGGAAAAGAATAGCCCTGGGGACGAGGTTGCGGTGATTTAACGGAGGGTTTTTTGCGTTACCGGTTTGGCGGGCTTTTATTTGGAGGGGTTTATACATGGACGGGCTTATTTTCGGAATTTCACGGTAGCCTGTGTATCAGGCCTTCCTAAGGGCCTAGGGGAGAGAAGATTTTAGACGGGGGTGGAGGAGGGTTAGAAGAGAAAGAAAGGGCGTTTCTCACAATTCGCTCTCTCCCTTTTTGGCCTCTCTCTTCCCCCTTTTCCCCCAGAAATGCCTAATACTCAGTCTAGAGTTTGCAGAGAAACAAGTTCGGGATTACGGGAATAAGGAACCCGGTCGGAATGACAGATGTGACACCATTGAAGACGCCAAGAAATAACAAGCAACTGCGATATTTAGGGATAACTCGCCCACCCGGGACAACTTTCCTCCGACTTGCGTGACCAGTAATCTTGACAATTTGAACGGAATTATCCAATTTCTGAGCTAAGTTATAAACATCTGAACAATATAAACGATGATAATATTTTCTCGTTTTTTCGTGAATTTAACGTGTTTTCCATAGAGAACTTCAAGTTTTATTTTAAATCTCGAACGTTAAAGAATGTCACGCATGATGAAACACGTCAGTAAAGCTAGTAAAGTTGACCCGGGTGATAGGGCCACCCTACCTGTCAAATTTGCTTGTAAACCAAAGCTAGCATAAAGGTAGCCCTCTCTCCGGGGGCAGGGCAGAAAAACCGCTGATTGGTTGCCGTTTTCGCGGCAGTTTGTGCTCTCCGCTGACCATCTTACAACGAATCAAGTAGTCTACAAAAAAGAGCAAAGTTTGAAGCCAAATACATAGTTAACCATGACTAGTTCGGTGATTATGATCTGATATCCCCAAACTAGAACTCATTGACAGGCGATGTCAAGAGTTGTAGCGAAATCAGATTAGGAATACACTTTAGGGTGCTTGCTGAAAATGCGCGGGACAGTGTGTAGTTCATAGAGACATTATACGACCAATAGCTCTTAAACAATTTGCAAAAATAAGAAACAGGTGGAGTATTTAAGGTTCAAAATTCGACCAACCAAAAGGCTAAAAGCCAAGAAGCAAAATAAGAAATACGTAAAAAAATCGAACAGTACGTTTTTCTGTGGCTT